GCAGCACCATGTGGCAGGAGGTGAGGGAAGGGATGGGGGTCCTGCGCTGGGAGGGGGATGTGGGGCTGGGCTTCCTCCCACGTGCATGTGAAAACCAGTCCTGTGTGTGGCTCCAGGAGCTGGAAGTAAGAAATTTCCTTTAATAAGTGTTAAATCACTGGAGAATTGGTGTTTGCCCCGGCTTCCCCCTTCTCTCTGCCCCAGGTGGAGGAGCTGGGCCAGCTGGAGGTGGACATGGAGGAGAAGATGGGCAGAGCGGAGCAGAGCCTGGCACAGGTCAAGGGGTTTTCCTGCAGGATGGGGGGGGCGGATTGGTCCCTCTTTCCTCGATTTTTTTCCCCCTCCTGCCATGCCCGAGGGCGTTCCCAGCATCCCCTGGCATTGCTGGTTGCAGGAGGAGCTGGATGAGCTGTGGGTGCTGCCGGAGGCGAGGAGCCAGCCCTCGTACCACCATGGCAACGGTCCCTACAACGATGTCAACATCCCGGGGTGCTGGTTCTTCAAGCTGCCTCACAAGGCAAGTTGGGTGCTCCTGGGGCTCTTCCTGGGGGTTTTCTGGCCACCCTCCATCCCAGCTACCTTGCTCCTGCTGCACAGCCACATCACCTTGCCTGTCACCCCAGTGCTGGAGCGCTCCTGGGACCCCTCGTGATTTTTTCCCATGGGATCGGGTGGTGGAAATGCATCTTTGTAGCTGGGGCAGAAGGATGGGAAGAGCTTTATCAATATGGAGTGATGGCATGCTGAGCCCTGGCATTTCTTTTGCTGCTGAAGGATGGGAATGAGAACAACGTGGGAAGCCCTTTTGCCAAGGATTTCCTGCCCCGGATGGAGGACGGCACCCTGCGGGCTGCCGTGGGCCGCACCCACGGGACCAGAGCCCTGGAGATTAACAAAATGATCTCGTTTTGGAGGAACGCTCACAAGCGGATCAGGTGAGCAGCTGCCTTCAGCTGAATGGTGACATCCCTCCGGGAGGAGGCTGTGTGGATGTGGGGGGCTCAGCATCTCACCTGCCGCCTGTCCCCCCAGTTCCCAGATGGTGGTGTGGCTGAAGAAGGGGGAGCTGCCTCGCGTGGTGACCAGGTATGGGGGGGTACCACCCCAGCCGTGACCACGGTCCCCTCCACGCCGCTCCGGGAGGGCTCTGGCAGGAGGATGCTCACCTTCACCTCTGTCCCAGGCACCCCAGCTATAACGAGGAGGATGACTACGGAGCCATCCTGCCGCAGGTGGTGACTGCGGGCACCATCACCCGCCGGGCGGTGGAGCCCACATGGCTGACGGCCAGCAATGCCCGGGTATGGCCATGGTGGGGTCCTTGTTGGGGGTGTTTTGGGCCCCCCTCTGTGTGTTTTGGAATGGTGAGACCAGCCTGGGTCTCACCCGGGTGTTGGAGCCCTTCTTTTGCTGGTGTGCTTTGACTTTGGGAAGGGGGAAGGAGTCAGCAGAGGCACCTGAGCTTCAAAATGTGGTGAAAGGAGAAAACACTGAAGCACCCATTTCTGTCCTTCCCCAAGCTCCTCTTCTTCCCTGTTGGAGGAGTTTGGGGGGAGTAACCAAGTAGGTGATGCCCCATGCATGCGTTAAACCTGCTTTTGACTTTCAGAGCAAAATTTAGGGGCATGGGGAGCACCGTGCCTGTGCTGCCAAGGAGGAGGTGCAGGGGTTGTGCTGAGCTGGGCATCTCATCCCACAGGCCGACCGGGTGGGCAGCGAGCTGAAAGCCATGGTCCAGGTGCCACCCGGCTACTCCCTGGTGGGTGCAGACGTGGATTCGCAGGAGCTGTGGATAGCCGCTGTGCTGGGCGAGGCACACTTCGCCGGCATGCACGGTGAGCCGGGGCTGCGCCGCCGGGGAGTGGGTTTGCTGAGTGTCG